CATTCAACCTCTCCAAGAAAAAAAATTTCCCCCACTCTGTCAACTATTATCTCTTCTACTTATCCTTACTCTTCTAAACCTCTCAAAAGAATAGTCCATTATCACTGCTTCTGTCTTGTTGCTTCCTGCTTTTTCTTTAACTACTTGCTGTTTCTTTTTTTGTGTTTTTTTTTGCTAATTTTCATAGACTATAAGTCCAATTAAGTATCTTTTCTCAGTTCTCATCATATTGATCTTGGTAAAACATCTGACATTTCTGACCATAAACATCTTTTTGAAAATATATTATTGGTTTCTCTAAAAGTGATTTGCAATTATTTTCTATACCCTTGAATATTTTTCATTCTTCTTATTTCACTCTTTTATCCTTCATTCATATATTGAATACCTGCTATACACTAAATATGAATGGTAATTCTCTTTTAGGTGTTCATTAATTTCAGTTCTTTGTTTCCCTTATTCTTCACATTAAAATCTGGGTATCCTCATGGGCAACCCCTTTGATCTCATTTACTCTTTCTTAGTTTTGCCGACATCTCTTTATAACTCCTAATTTAACTTTATTATTTTATTCATTCAATAAATACTCATTGAGTCCAGTATGTGCTAGGCATTGTGTCATTCTCTGTGGATGGTGAACAAGATATATTTCCTACCTTCAGAGAGATTGTAAGTCCAAAGGGAAAGATAAATATTAACAAAATAATCACAAAAGTGAATGTATAATTACAAGCCATAAAAGTACTTTATAGGAAAATAAATGAGCACTGAAGGCATACAAAGGGAAATTGTGGGTAGAATTCAAGTGGGAGCATAGTCAGGACACATTCTGTCAGAAAGTGATGTGTAAGTTGAACTCTGAAGAATGAGAATGGGTCAACTAAACAAATCATGTCCTAGGTATAGCAAATAACATGTGAAAAGGCCATGTGGTAAGAATGAGATGTGTTCAAGAAAATGGAAATCTCTAAGGGTTGCTATGATTGGAACTAGATATTGGGTGGTATAAGATAAAGCAGAATTGGTAGGGATGATCACTCTATTCTTAATTATTTATTTTTTATAATTAGACTATATTGGCCAACTCATGCTGCCATAATGAAATACCATAGACTAGGTGGCTTAAATAACAGAAATTAATTTTCTCACTGTTCTGGAGGCTGAAAGTCTAAGATCAGGGTACCAGCATGGTTTGGTTCTGGTGAAGGTTCTTTCCCTGGCTTGCAGATGATTACCTTCTTACTGTGTCTTCACATCAAGGGGGTCTGAGGAAGGAGGACAAAGAAATATCTCTTCCTTTTTTAAGTAAGACCACAGTTCTACTGAACTAGGGTCCCATCTTTATGACCTTATTAAACCTTAATTGCCTCCTAAAGGCCTTATCTCCAGAACTAATCACATTGGGGACTAGGGCTTTAACATATAAATTTTGAGGGAACACAATTCAGTCCATAGTGAAGACCACCAGAAAGTCACTTAATCATTTACAATAGTAAGATATCATATTTAACAAGATAAGTCTTGATGCAGGGTAGAGAATGGACAGAACAGGGGCAAAGGTGATCATGGGATCCAGTTAGAAAGTATTTTGCAGTAGTTCAGTTGAATTCAGACTGATTTTAGTGAAGTGCCATTGGAAAGGAGAGTGATTTAAGAGTTATATAGGAGAAAAAATTGAGAAGGTATAACAATTCATTTGAAATGAGATCAAAGTTATAAGAGGAACTAAGGATGGTGCTTAAGTTTCTAGATTGCTCAACTGAGTAGGTGATGGAGCCATTCAACGAGATATGGAACACTGGAAGAGGTCTAAGTGTGGGGGAGAGAACATGAGTTCAGTGTGATATTTGGTATATTTAAGATACTTTGAAACAAATATTATTTTGTCAGGATAATTAATGCTAAATGCTGAAACAAGTACCCTCTAAGTATCAATGCCTTAACACAATGAGTTTCTTATTTACATCATAGCCTGATGTGGTACTCCTTAGGTCACTGAGATACTCCTTCAAGTAGTGACTCAGAAATCCAGGCTAATTTCCTTATTGAGATGATGCTTCTGATCACTGTGGAAAGGAAAGAGAAAATACAGATGAATGCATAGGGATGTGCTGTTTATGCCTGGAGGTGGCATGCATAATTTTTAACCCATAACCCACTGAGGATACAGTCGCACGTCCTAACTACTTTGAAGGACACTGGCAAATATAGTTCCTGTGGACCCACATAGAGAAAATTGTATTAGTTAGCACCTCTGCGATATTTACTATGTGCCAGGTACTGCTCTAAGTCCTTTATATGTTTTAACTCATTTATTATTCACATCAACCTAATAAGGTACATACTATATTATCATCTCCATACAACAGATTTTTAGACGAGATCGGGCATGTTCAGGGTGGTATGGCTGTAGACGGCACAACAGGTTTTTAAAAAGCAAACAAGGTAGAGAGACTTTGAGAAACTTGCCAAGGGTCACATAGTCAATAAAGGTAACCTATGATTTGAATTCAGGTTATCTGGATTCAGATGCTTTTTAATGAGTACATAATACCAACCTCTTCAAGTTAAAATCCAGTATATGGTACCATGTATAAGTCTAAAGCTCAAGAAGAAATTTTTGCTGGAGATAATAAATTTTGGGAGTCTTTGGTATAATTTCCTAACCTCAGAAGTATTAATATTTTGGGCTACATAATTCTTTGCCATCCTGTGCAATGTAGCACGCTTAGCAGCATCCTTGGCCTCTACCCACTGGATCCAGTAGCATTCTTCCCCCACTTGTGACAATCAAAAATGTTTCCAGACATTTCCAATGTCCCATGGAGGGAAAAATTGCCCCTGGATGAGTATCACTGACAGCCATGAGTATGGATGAAATTATTAAAAGAAAAAGTATAAGCTGAAAAGAGTCAAGGGGCTAGTAATGAATGTTAACAAACATTAAAATGTAATGGCTGAAACAGAAGATGCGCTAGCTAAAGAGACTAAGAAAGAATGGCCAGAGAGGAGAAAACTTAAAATGGTGAGAGAGTTAGTAAAAGAATACTGCAAGGAGGAACAAGGGGTTAACAGTGTTAAATGTTACTGAGAGATCTTAAAAATAAAAGATTGACAAATGTCAGTTAAATAGCACAAGAAGGTCACTGGTCACTTAGTAAGGGCTATTACAGTTGATGATTGTATAGAACACAGATTAGAGTGAAGAGCAAAAAGTGAGATGTAAGGAAATTGGCACAGTAGTTATTGCCAAACTTTTGGAAAGGAAGAAGCAATAGCTGAAGGGGGTTGTGGAATCAGAGGATGATTTTGTTTTTTAAACCTGAGTGAGACTTGAAAAAATTTAAACATCTATGGATGGTTCCAGTTCTTTGAATTGACATGTGACAAAGAATAATCAATAGTAGAATACCTAAGAAAGCACAGGTAGAAAAATTGGACCTAGGTTTGGGTTGTAACTGAAGGGAAAGTGCCCAGTATGATGCACTTTCCAGTAGTCACCTTATACTTAGCATTTCTAAGTAAGAAAAATAGCTTTCCCACAAAAATCTGTAATTGCTCCTGTATTGCCTAATATTAATATTGTTGTTTTCCACCTTTACTAGCCCATGAAACCCTTATCTTCTTTCTTATCCTTATCATCTTTCCTTAATCTATTTCATTATCAATTTTTATTGATTTTACCTTGGAAATGTACCTTGATTCAGAACCCTCTTTTTATTTCCATTGCCAATAAATGAGTGCATATTTTTATTACTAGCTCAAATGTCACTTCTTTCTTGAAGCTTTCCCTCTTTCTCCTAGCCAAATAAATTTTTATGTACTTAGTATTCAAAGAAAAATAGAAGTAGAGAAAAAAATAATTTTCATTACCTTACTATGTTACTCAAAACATTACTCTTTACAATTCTTAGTGGCGGCTGCCCCTTTCTTCGTTTTTTCTTTTATTATTAAAAAATGTGTTACAAGTAATTGTTTGGTCTTACACACCTTGCTTAAGTAGAACACATAGAACAGAGTGCCTCAATTGTCAAATAAATGTGGATTCAATGCAACCACCAAATCAGCTCTGTTAATTGTCTGATATTTAGAAATGCAATAAATTTGGAGAGGGGGTTACCAAATTTTCTCTAAAATTTTAGGTCAATATACCCTTGGCGTGGACTCTACTGAAACTGGATTTTAGGATTACCAAGAATCAAACCAGTCCTTTGGATCAGTACCTTGACCTGAAACAACCAGTGGAGAAATAAAACAATAAAATGACTTGGCTCTGGTTAGCACTTATTTGAATTCGCTTTGATGTAAGGCTTCTGTTTCCAATATAACATTTTTGTGTATACTGTTTACCAATTCTTAAAACACTTGAGTAGTCCAATTTACCTTTGTTATTTCCGAACTTCATCAATCTCCAGCGAAATTTGCAATTTTTACTACAAGGTTCAGGGCCGCATTGTTCATGATTTGGAACCATTTCCCAATCCTTTCATTTCTTTCCATTACATTTTCCCACCAAGAAGAAAGCTTCACATTATCTGGTAAAGTCCGTGCAGACTAGCCGGTTAGAGTGAGCATGGACAATACATGTTGACTCACATCTTCCACTTTTTGATCTTCCAGCCCCTCAGGCAGGATTCCCCAGCTCACACCTCAGTCACCTGCAGCACCTGGCCTATACGCCACGCCCTCAGGACCTCCCACCGCCTCGGAGCCTGGGGAAGGTGTCTGCCTTCTCAATGTTTTCTCAGGTGTCGGCTTCTCTTACCGCCCACATCACAAGGCCATTTCCAACACCCTCACACCCTGGCTCCGCCCCCTCAAGCTCCCAAACGTCCTCGACGTGGGGCTGGAGCTTGCGCCTGCGCGTGCGCCCTGGGGCCGAAGTCGGGGCGTGCGGTGGCTGGAAAGCGAAGAGCGGCGGGCAGTGCAGCCAATGGGAGGCGGCGCTGGCTAGAGGCTGGGAGGCGGGGCCTGCGCGGGTGTTAGGTTAGCGCGAGGAGTGACCTAGTTGACAGGTTCTGAGGTGTTCCTGTGGCGGTGTCTGCGGAGCTGAGACGGTTGGGAACCAGAGCCCAGCGCGGGCTGAGGGACGAGGGCGGCGACTGGAGGGCTGCTAGCAGCGTGGCACGCGGCACCTTTTTCACTTTTTCTCTCCCGAGTGCCCCTCCTATCCCTCCCACTCCACACCACCCCGTTTGCCCGTGAGCCTGGGGAACTTGCAGCTTAAAGCCAGCCACCCCCACGGCAACATGTACCCCAGCAACAAGAAGAAAAAGGTGTGGAGAGAGGAGAAAGGTAACTGGCCTGTTGAGTCCTTGGGGTACGGGTGGTTCTGGGGTGGGGGCGGGGGTCAGGGCTGTGCGTGCCGCGAAGCCCTCCGCCCGAGCTCCCGCCTCGCGCCCTCCCTACCGGTGCCGCCTTCCTCGTGTGTCCGTGTGTAAACACGCGCGCTCACACAGGCGTGCACGCGCCGCCCCCGGGTACCTGCAGCTCGCGCACGTGTGGGCGCACGCCCCTCTCTGCAGCCCGCCGCGAGTAGTCACCTCTCTGGACGGGGCTGCCTTAGCCTCGCTTTCGGCGTGGATCCCCGCATGATAGTCTCCGGGCCAGCACAACTTCCTCTGGTCTCCTGCCCTGTCTCCGGACTCCTGCTGGGACTTTCTCACAGCTGGCCGGCGTGTCCCGGGGACACGTGCCAGCCGGCGGACACACCCGCTGCAGCTGTTGCTGCGCCTCAGCGTCCCGACCCTCATTGGTTCACTCTTCATCTTTGTTGATCCCGCGCTCTGTCAGCCGGTGGTATACCCACCTTCTGGTGTTTAGCCCTTCAGTAGGTCCCTCACTTCTGCGCCGCAGTGTGACTTGAAACCTGGAACTCCAGGGGAAACCTAAAACGAGCGTCTTGTCCGTAAGGATAAGTGCCTTCGGAGAAATCTAAATGGGCTTTTTTTCTGTGCAGTGTGTTTCTCAATATTCCATCCCCATTCATAGTTTGAAGTTGCTCAGAGTAAGATTGTGAGACTGATGTCACTCTCTGTGAATGAACCCACCCCTGAATTTTGTGCTTATCAAGGCTTATCCAAGTCAGTGAAAGTGACACTGATTTCTGTAACGTACGGAAGTGTGTGATCCAACGCTCTGTTTTCTGTCTCTAGCGTTATAGCTAGATAATATTCTAAGGTAGAATTTGAGTCTCTGGAGGTCCTCCCCCTTTTTTCACTCCTTTTTATTCTTTAGCTTTTTTACAGAAATGTAGCAAAATGTACTTGCATTGCTACTCCTAAGGTGTACTAAATGAGTGTACGGAGTGAGGTCCAATGAGGGTAGGGCAAATTTTTCCTAAATATTCCATCTTCATAGAAGGATTAGGGGGTGACTAGGTTGAAATAGCTCTCTAAAACCTATAGATTTTTATTGCAAGTCCTGGCCTTTGTAAATACCTAGGCATATAGTTAACAAAAAATGGAATGAATGTGGAAAAAGAATCTTCCCTATAGGGGCTACTTCAAGCAATGTACAAGGAAAGGGATGAGAAGGGATTTAAAAAAAATTAACTATTGGGAGGATTAACATAACAGCTGATTAAAATGGTCTCTATAATATTGAAAGATTAGATTGTATATCATTTAATTATATTTTAATGATTATGGTTCTATGTAGAACTAAAAATTCTGGTGTCACAATTCTGGTGTCACAAAACAAATGCTGTTGAGAATAATAGCCTGATACATAGTTGTGTGAAATATTTTTGTTTTGTTTTTGTAGTAGCAGTTACTTTACTTTCTCCACACTTTCAACAAGGACTTACTTTGCAAGCATTGAAAAATCATTTTTGCCCATTTTTAATGATGGTCTTGTAATGTTAGCTTTGTATTATTGATGATAATGAAAGACATGGAGATTGACTTCAATACATGAATCATTGATGAACGTACATTAATTACTTAAGAACTACTTTTTTTTTGTTATAATAGATAATGTTCCTGAGTGACAATGTTATAATGCTTCTGCCATTTAACATCTACACAGTTGACCTGTGATAAGCAGGCATTTTAGAATTTTTAATGTCTTAATTCTTCTTTTGCTTCTAATAGTAAAGGGGATAATATAACCAAATTAATATTTTCTAAGTAAAGAAGCAGATGCACAATTAAGGAAGGCATTTAACATAATATATTTTTTTTCCCAAAACTAACATTTTTGCCTAAGGTTTAATGTTAAAGGGAAAAGTTATTGAGACTTGAAAGCTTTAATATATGTCTCAATGTCTTATCAAGATGTCTGTTTTTGGAATAGTTGATATTCAGATATGTGTGTGTGTGTATTACCATCAGAAGAAGCTAAGGATTTCCAGTACAGTAATTAGTATTAAAGAAGCTGATGGAATTCATCACCTTTTTTCTTTTATTACACTGGAGAGGAATGGTATCATATTTTTGCAGCTATTATTTAAATCTAAAGGCTTACCCACCTCACTGAAATGTCAAGGCATTGTATAAACATACTTTAACACAGTATAACATCTAGTGAGTAGATCTGCCTATTTATATGCTTGGTTAATGAAAAAAGATTTATGTATTTTGCTGTTGTAGAATGTGCACTATTTTTGCCCAGATTTTTGAGGGAAGAATAGGATGCGAGTTGCACATGGGGATAATGATTACATACCATAGGTCCCCATGTATAATGCCCATGTATAAGGTGTACAAAAACCATGGGTGCACATTATGCACAGGTGCGCATTATACACAGCAAAATACAGTATTGCATAGATGATGTATTCTTTTTTTGGGGGGGTTCATGTTTTTTTTTTAATCATGTTTATTCTATTACAGTTGTCTCAGTTTTTCTGCTTTTGCCCTCCTACCTCTCTCCCACAGTCAATTCCCACTCAGCTGTCTATGTCCATGGGTCATTTATACATGTTCTTTGTTTAGTCCCTTCTCCTTCTCTCCACCATTGTCCTCCTTCCCCATCCCCTCTGGTCACTTTCAGTCGGCTCCATGTTTCCATGCCTGTGGTTTATTTTGGTTGTTAGTTTATTTTGTTGAATAGATTCCACTTATAGGTGAGATCATATGGTATTTGTCTTTCCCTGACTGGCTTATTTCACTTAGCATAATTTTCTCCAGTCCCATCCATGTTGTTGCAAAAGGTAGGAGTCCCTTCTTTCTTTTTAAAAATGCAGATTGATTTTATTTATTTTTTTAAATGTCAAGATGCATTATAAAATATTTAAAAAATTAAGTCCATTATAAAGTCTCAGCAATTAAAACATGACACCAGCACAGAAATAATCAAGTAGATTAGTGAAATAAAATGAGCATATCAGAAACAAACATATGTATCTGTCTAGCAATATGATATATGATTAAATTGATATGTCAAATCAGTGGGTAAAATAAGGCTTATTCAATAAGTAAGGTACATGGACCACTATTACTTGAAATAAAACAAATTTCACACATTATACAAGAAATATTCAGATGAGTTAAAAATCAATATGCAGAATCTAAGGAGTTTTGAGAGAAAAAACAAACTAATATTTTTCTTACCCTGAAGTAAAATATTCAAACCCGGAAGCTATAAAGTAAAATACTGACAATATGACTATGTTAAAGACTGTATGGTAATATACATATAAAAAGTTAAAGGAAAAGTAATAGAATAGGAAATTATTTGCAGCACATCTAAAAAAGGGTTAAGGTTTTTTTTGGAGTTTTTTTAGGGAAAAAATTTTACAAACAATTAAAAAATGGATAAAGAATACCAAAAAGTCATTTAAAGCTTTTTAAAAATAATGGAAATAGGCAAGAAATATACAAAAACAGGTTTAGTTTCAACAAACAATAAAAGGACAATTTAAATAACACATCATGGTCACAATCGGATTAATAAGTATTAAAATATTGGTAATATCAAGTATTTGTGACTGTGAAAGGAACTGGGTATTCATAGACTCTTTTTCCTCATCTTAAAGCAGTCCCTTTAGCATATTTTGCAGTGCTGGTTTGGTGGGGGTGTATTCTTTCAGCCTTCTTTTGTCTGGGAAACTGCTTATTTCGCCTTCCATTTTAATTGAGAACCTTGCTGGGTAGAGCAGTCTTGGTTGCAGGTCTTTGCTTTTCATTATGTGGAATAGTTCTTGCCAGTGCCTTCTGGCTTGCAGTATTTCTGTTGGGAAGTCAGCTGCTAGCCCTACCGGGGCTCCCTTATATGTTACTACCTCTTTCTCCCCTGCTTCTTTTAGGATTCTCTGTTTGTCTTTGAAATTTGCCATTTTAATCATTATGTGCCTTGGAGTGGGCCTCATTGGTTTCTTCTTGAATGGGACCCTCTGTGCTTCCTGGGCTTGTGTTGCTTTTTTTCTACTCAAATGAGGGAAGTTTTCCATCACTACTTTTTCAAACATGTTCTCTATCCCTTGCTCCTCTTTGCTTCTCCTTCTGGTATCCCTATTATAAGGATATTATTACGTTTCAGATTGTCCTGTATTCTTCATTCTTCTTCATTCTTTTTGAGTCTTTTTCATTTTCTTGCCCTTTCTGGGAGCTTTTTTTTACCTTATCATCCAGCTCACTGATTCTTTCCTCTGTTTCATCTAGCCTGTTTTTGATTCCTTCTGCTGTTCCCCAATTCAGAAATTGTATTCTTCATTTCCTCTTGTGTCTTATTGATAGTTTCTATGTCTTTTTTCATGCCTATATAGTTTGCAGTCAGTAAGTTCCTCGTAGTTTCCCTGTAGTTTTTGATAATTCTCTCTGAGCTCCCTGAGCTCATTTTGCTTCTTTTAAACCGTTGTTTTAAACTCAATATTTGATAGTTTACTTGCCTCTACTTCATTTAGTTCTCTTTGTGGGGATTCTTCTTCCTTTTCCTTTGACTGGGGGATGTTTCTTTGTCTTCCCATTTATTTGTGAGACTCTTCCTTTTTGCTTCTGTTTCTTAGATTTATCTGTCTTGATTTCCTGACTTTGTGATGTGAACCTCTCTGGTGGGAGGCTGCTATTTTGACTTTCTGGATCTGCCTCTGATGATGTCAGATATTGTCTCTGTCTGACCTAACGCAGTCTCTTCAAGACTTCCAGGAATCTACTGTCTGTGGTCGTCTCCTTCAGTTATTAATCTAGTCATTCTGCACTCCGCAGGTGGTTTAGACACCACAGGGCTGGTCAGAGTCCCTCTTGAGGGCAGGGTTATTGGGTCCTCTCACGCTGTTGCTGCTCAGGGGAGTGGTCTGCCTGAGCCAGATGGCTGCTGCCGGATGGGGGAGAGGTCAGCACTGGGATCCCGCCGCCATTCTCTCTGCTCTCTCCCCAAAGCCTCGGTCTCCAGTCTCTCCTCACGTGTCTTCAGACCACTCTGTGTCCCCTTTATCCAGGGATCTATCTGTGGCTGCCCCGTTGTACTCAGTAGTCAGGCTTTAGCACCACTGGCCAGGGCTGAGTCCCTCCTGGGGGCGGGGCTCTTGGACCCTCTTGCGCTGTTTCTGCCCAGGGGAGTGGTCTGCCTGAACCAGATGGTTGATGCTGTATGGGGGATGAGTCAGCACTGGGATCCCTCTGGCTGCTCTCTCGTTTCTCTGCCCAAAGCCTCTCGTCTGGCATCTCTAGCCCACTCTACCCCCATCTTTGCCAGAGACCAGAGTAAGTGGCTGCCAGTAAAAATTTATGCATTGGCCATGTAAATGGCTGTTTGTGTCTCCAGCAGTCTGTCTCTGGCAGAGAGCAACTCTTTCATTTTTTGCAGCTGGCTGTTAATATGTATACTTTTTGGGCTCTAGTGCCATAGGTTGGAGATCCTTGGTTATGGTTTGACCCAGTTCATCTCAGGGGGATCCAACTAGGCCTTTCAATAACCTCTTGGTGGTTCTGCCTGTGGGCGCCCCACCTGCCTTCTTGAGTCTCTACCACACTTTTTATCTGTTAGGTTGTGCTAAAGCTGATTCTTCTGTGTGTTTGAGGTTGTAAGCCTCCTTTTTCTTTATTATTCATTTGTTTTTTCCAGGTGATTGCTCCACAATTTAGTTGTAATTCCAGATTGGTCCTTGGAGGAGGTCAGTGTGACTTCCACTCACCCCTCTGCCATCTTGATTCTCAGATGAAGTATTCTTTATGGAAAAGTTTTGATTAATACCAAAGAAATTATATAGTACATGTATGTAGCCCTTAGTATTTCCCTGTGTTTAAAAAAATAATTTAAGTTCTCAGGTCCATACATGTTAACTAGATGTTTATTGATCTAGTATTTTGGACCCTAATTCAAAACTACTTGATGTGTACTATCATTTTAAGTACTGAAAGTTAAATTATCTTACTGTTTTACTGTTTTATTGATCTTGTTCTAAGTGACAGAAGCCAGGGTGTATTCCCACAGGTACCTTCTGACATTTATTAAAACTACAGCTGCTTCATATATTTCAGCCTGATCAGTGATACTGCACTATTTCCATTTTAGTGATCTGAGCTTTATTAGTAGTGTTTTGTTAAGTTCTAGTTATCCCTTTTTCTCTGTGTGATTACTTTAAATTTTCTATTCCCTTCAAGCTTTCTATTCCATCAAGACTCTGTCCTACTTTAAAAAGGCAGGTGATACTACCTTTTTAGGAAAAAAATTAATAAAAGAAAGTTTATTAAGACAGTTACAGAGGTAGAAGTGAGCTGTAGAAGAACTGGGCTCAGGAAACAAGTTACAGCAAAATAAGGGCCCTTGGAGCTTAGGAGAAGGAGACAGAGAGAAAGACAGAGGAAGGGAGGAAGGGAGGGAGGGAGGGAGTGCTTGCACTCTGCGGAAAGAAGGGGATGGGGAAAGGCATGGGCATACTCCCTAGAGAGAGCCGCTAGATAATGCCTTTTAGTATGTAGAGAAAATATGTCATATAACATGAACAGCTCCATAGTTTTATTTGTCTGTTTCTTCACATGCCCTTTGTCTTTTTAGCTTTGTTTCTATCTTAGAGGAAGCACTTTTCTTCTTTCTTTCTAAGATTAACTCCCTCTGTTTGTGCTGTTTATCTCATCTCCTGAATTCTTTGAGATTTGCTATCATTTATTCCCTTTTGGGTATGTTTAGTTTCTGAGTGTCTTCAGGTTCCTCTCAGCCTATAAGAATGCACAAGCCTCTTTTACTCTGAAGTAGCCTTCCTTCCGTAGGACTTCACCTTGGAGTTTGCTGTTCTCACTTTTTTTCTCAGTCTTTCATAGCCAGCCTCCTGGATCTCAGTTACACTAATAAAACTGATGTTTCTAAAGTCATTTAGTAATAACAATGATGATGGTACTAATATAAAATAGTTACTGTTTGAATCCTGCTCAGCACTCTTCTAGGTACTTTGCATGAGATCTCATTTAATTCTCACAACAATCCTCTGAGGTAATATACTGTAGGGTCAAGGGCTTTGAACACCATTTGCATGGATTTGAACCTAGTTTTACTGCTTACTATGTGTAGGACCTTAGGTAAATTATTTAACCTCTCTGCTTTATTTGTCACATCTGTAAGTTTAGAATATAACTCCAACCTATCTCAAAAGGAAACTGAGACATGAAAAGTTTAACCCAAGATCACATAGATTTGCATGATTTGGGATTAAAACCCAGGCAGTTTTGTTAACGACTATGCTCTCTTTTCAGTGCTCTTGGTGACCCAGTGGATAAAGCCAATGTCCTATTAATTTTTATTCTTCCTGATCTTCCTGTAGCAATTAGTAGTATGTCTCCTCCTTTACATACTAAAACTTTTTTCTTTGCTGGTTTCCACATCACTGAGACCTTGATTCACCTTGTGCCCCAAGTGACATCTAAACTTTATTTTTCCCTTTTTTTGTGTCTACTACCTAAATATTGGTTTTTGAGGTTTGTTCCTCTCTCTTACCTTCCCTATGGACTTATAGGAGCAGAAGTTTAGGTTGTAATTTCCAAAATCTCTAGGCTAGACCTCTTTCTTTAGTTCAGGATTTTTGATTTCAACTTGAATGCCCTGTAGGCATCTGAATTTCAGTATAGTGTTGACCCTTGAGTATTGTAGTATTTTGATTTGAATATATCACATCTGATTAAAATATGGATTTTTTTTTTTCCTTTTGGTCACTATTCAGTCTATTTATGTGGCCAATTCTAGGAGCTTGGGAAAATGTTGGCTCCCTGTTTCCTGTTCACTTGTGCTTACATTAATACTTTTCTGCAGTTTATTTTTGTGGAATAATCTTTTAAAATGGTTATTTTTTGAAGGTAGGATTACCTAAAACTAGGTACTATCCTTAAAGACATTCACCGAAACTATGACATCTTGTAATATGCTGGAAGAGAATCGGAGAGTGAGACTACATCCTTTGGTAAAGGATGTGATATATGACAGCTGGCATACAGAATGAGTGAGGATGCCAGTGTCAGTTTATGCGCCAAATATTATTTCTACATTTTATTTCTTCCTTATTTCTTTAGATTAAATATACAAATAAAATTTTATACATTTTTTTCCTTGTATCCTGGTGGATTGTTTTATGTACCTTCTGGGATATGCAAACAACTTTGAATATTAGTGGTCTCCATGATAGAATAAAGGTTAAACTGCTCACATTTTGTTTTAACTTATGTTTCTAACGTCTTTTCACTTCTGCAGCCACTTCCCTTTTCATAGCATATCTTGCAGTTTCATCAAACTATTCATATTTCCTTGTCTCTGTTTACATTGTCCTTTTATTCTGAAATAGCCTTACTTGTCACCTCTTCATTGCAAAATTCTGCCTATTGGGAACCAGTATACACATCACATCTTTTAGGGACTCATCTATTCCTGAGAAGGTAGTACAGTGTAGTGGCTAATTGTATAGGTGATAGTTTCTGACTAATGGAGAAATCTGACTGGATTTTCATGGAAAGTTCTCTTGCTTTGGATAGACTACTGAACTTTGATATGCTTTATTTCCCTATTTTCAAAATAAGGATACTAATACTATCAATTTACTGAATTGTTGGGATGATTATTTCAGTGAAATTATACATGTGAAATAACTGGCACACAGTAAATTCTTTTTTTTTTCTTTAATCCTCACCTTCTGATATGTTTATTGTTTTAAAGAGAGAGAGAGAGAGGGGTGAAGAGAGAGGGAGAGGTGGCGGGGAAGAAAGAGAGAGAAACATCCATGTGAGAAAGAAACATTTATTGTTTGACTCTTGTATGTGCCCTGACAGGGGATCAGTCTGCTACCTAGGTCTGTGCCCAGACTAGCAGTTGAACACCTGACCTTTTGGTGTACCATGCCTGCTCCAACCAACTGAGGCACGTGGCCGGGGACAGTGAACTTTTTATAAATGATGCCAATTATTAATTCTAAGATGCATTTAAAAATATTTTATTTTGTAATCAAGATGTACGTGCATATATAAAGTATTATTTATATCATGTCGACTAAGATGTTATTAAATTAAAAGTGCAATTTTATTGTGAATGGCATTTTTGAATTAAGAAAATATCTCAGTGGCTGCGTTTCTTGTGCTCTTAGCATTTGTAGCCAGCTGTTTTAGGATTTAGTGTTTTATTTATGAAGCTGCTATTTTGTCTCTTATTCATTTCTCCTTTTGTCTTGTGAACTTTTCAAAGTCAAGGATCTTCTTTGTACTTGCAGTGTATAAACATATCACTTGGTACATAGTAGACTGTCAGTAGATGCTGATTGAAAGAGTTTTCTTATATTTTTTCCCCCTGCTAATATAGTATTAATTTTACACCTTTAACACTCAAATATAGAGTAATTAGATTTGCATTTTGGTGTTTCTCAAGCACACATTAATTTTTTTTTTTTTTTGGTTAACATGGTTAATATTTAAATTGTAAAATAATTCCTGATCTTAAAAGTAATATACAAATGGAAATTCTGCTTTTATTTTGCAAGAACGCTTACTGAAGATGACCCTAGAGGAAAGACGTAAAGAATACATAAGGGACTATATTCCCCTGAACACTATCCTATCATGGAAGGAGGAGGTGAAGGGCAAGAGCCAAAATGATGGTAAGTTTCTCAGAATATTTTTCAGGTAGATGCTGTTGCCATTTTTTCTTTTTTTTATGAATTCTGCAGGACAGGTTTTTGACAAAAATGACTAACAGGCTTTCAATAAAGAGATGACAATTTTGCTATATGAAACCAGTGCCAATTGTCATTTTAATTATTTTTAGCTATCTATTATGCATTATTTAAGCTTAGAACATTATTATTTTTTTATCCAAACCCTACCCATTCTGAAATACACCAAAATTATATTATGTTATTCTCTTGTGGGCACTTTTAAAAAATTACTTTGCAGTAGTTTTTGGAGCAAATGATATTAGGGATTGCTGCTTTGGTGACATGGCCTTTGGAGTTTGTTTTGATTAGGCTAATTTATAGTGGATTTCTTCAAGTTTATTTTAAGGATTAGCTACAGTTCAAAGACAGTGCATCAAGAAGAATAGAGAACAAACAAATAACATTTCACATAATTTTAGAGAAGAGTATTTTGTGTGGTCTGGTATTATGTCTACAAATGACATATTTGTATGACAAATTTATTCTTTCACCAATTTGCTTTGGTTTAATGAGAGTGTAGACTGAGGGAAAATATATGTGTTAGAATATAAATGAAATTTTAATTATCACAAATGTTCATGAAAGAAAATTCTGAAAAACAATATAATAAATTTAATGTATGTTTAATATCTTTATCTCTGAATTAACATTCATTGGTGTTTATGGTCTGGATGTTAAGTTTGAAGAAACAGGGTGGTTTTTAGGATATTTAACAGTTGACAAAGAAAGGTAACTTTACAAAAAGAGCTTGGAGCATGCTGATTTCATAAGTTGTGGTCTTTGATGGAAATATACAGGATGTTATGGCCCAGAATAAGAAGACTAACATGGAGTTCCTATGGACAAAATCTGGGAAATAGCAGGCAAATTAAACTTTAGTGTTTGTGAAGAGAACACAGTTACCTGAGAGTTTGGGCCTTGGATAGAATTTTGTTTTTCTGGGAAGGCAAATGTGTGCCCTTGAACAAGTTGGATAGTGGGTTTCTCCCAAGTTTTAAAGGGGTCATAGGCTGATTGGGATGTACACATCTGACCTGCTTTCCCAGTGTCCTAAGTAAATGCAAGTTTTAATAATGGTTTAATTGAGGCATCACTGGAAGAGTAGGTAGTGCTGTATAATGAAAAGAATACAGAAGTGGAGATCAAGGGGACAATCCTGGGCCTTGTCTGACCTAGGACCAGGTGCCTCTTAATGTTTGGGTCCCTTATTCTTTTGTTTGTAAGAAACTGGTATTAAATACTTCAGTTTCATTTTTTTATGCTAGTAAATCTCTCTTTTTCCAGTGCTTCATTAATCTGGTTTTCTTTCTTGGTCACAGTTTTAGCTGGTCAGTTTTCTAAGGATGCAGTACATGGTGGTCTTTTTAAAAAAAAAAAAAAATTTGCCTCCTGAGGTAGTAGATTCCTGTTGCTGACACAATTGTTGACAAAGCAGTAGTGATACCCGGGCTGCATTGCCCAATATTGGGTTGGCTCACCTCTGCGTAGAGGCTTGGTCTTGATGTTGGTTGCTTCTACTTGAACATTCAGCATGTAACAGTGTAGGGTTGAACTGGGTTTTTATGAACTCCGTTTTGGATTTTTTAGAGATACTACATACCAAAATATGTCCCTCAAATCAGTTAAGCTATACTGAGTAACATCTGACATTGTTATTCTCTAATAAGGTCCTTTGTTTTTAATCCTGTCTCCAATATGAGCTTTATAAATGGTTTGTAGCTGCTCTGTGTATTTTAGTTTTTACCTTCATGATTTTTGAAAATAACAGGCCTTCATGGGAACTAGGTGATATGATCAAATAGTATTTCTATTAAACAATGTTTTATTATCTTCATCTAATGTTACTTGCTCCTCTCTGTTGTGACATTGCAGTTGTTAACTAGCCTCTCCTTAAGCCTTTCTTGAAACGGAATGATTCATTCTACATGTAGTATCTGTTAATTTCTTTACATAATATAAATCTTTCATAAGTGTTTTATTCTAGTGTTATACATATCCAGCCTTAGTTAACTAAAATATTGGTCAAAAGAATTTTAGTATTTTTATAGTTTGAAAGATATTTGAAAAGTATAAATTAAAAAATCATAAAGGACAACTGTAGTTGAATTTTTATATTTTATTTTGAAATGTTTAAGCTTATGAACTGCTTATAAATGTATGTATATAAGTAGGTACTGTATTTATAATGGTTTTATTTTTTAAGTATAAGGTTTCAAACTACGTTTTAAAAGAAGATAGTATCTGATATTTAGGAAATGAATGATATTTATTGGACTAGCACAATATACCAGTTTTAAATTTAGTAATTTATCATTATCTTTGTTTTTATAGAAGGTCATTTTGACCTTGATATCCATGATTATATGGAAACTTTTCAAACTTAAAAAAAATTTTTTTTTTTTTTACTTTGCTCAGTTTTCTTTTACTTGAATTTAATGTTTCTTCTTATATTGTAGAAAGTTTTATTTATTTATGTTATATTTTGGCCTTTAAGCTCTCCTAATAAAAGGAAACCAAAAGTTGCCAAACAATATAAAATCAGTGTTTGTGTCGAAGGAGGAAGCAAGTAGATAATACAGGATGGGGCAAAAGTATGTTTGCAGTTGTGAATATGGAAAACACAGTTTATTTTTTTAATATTTGTTAATTATTATTTTCCATACAAACAAATGGAAACCTTCTTTTGCCCCATTCTGTATTTTTACTTTGACTTACTGCTTTGGTAGTATTGCAAAGCTATGGCTCAGAAGAAGAAAAGAACAGGAGATGATTACCAAGAGAAAAATCCATTTTATTGTTCATGTTCATATTTATCAAATACTATTAGTAAATCTCTGAAATTATATGCTTCTAATTAGCTTTTCCTCTGTATTAGCAATTATGTAATAATTCTATTGCATTTGTCAGTTGCCTTCTTCTAGGGAATTTAAAAATGCTTGTCTTACCTATTACACTCTCTAACACCTGGAATAGAGCCTCATGCATAGATGGGCTCAATCAATATGTTAAATAAGAATGCTTCAAAGGTTAAAAGTCTACAAAGCACACTTCTTTCTTTTTAGTTTTTTCTCAAACTTTAAAATGAGCATTTAAAAACATATATAAAAATAGAGGGTATAATAAAGTTTTTTGCACCCATCACTCAGTTTCAACAGTTAATATGTGGCCATTTAAATGAATTTAATTAAAAATTTTTGTTATCTATACCAGAGCTCCCTGTACCTTTTTTCCCAGACTATTTTGAAGCAAGTCCTATACATTATATCAATTTTATCTGTAAACATATGTAAGTATGCATATATATATATATACATCTGAGCGGTAAGGACACATTTTTGTTGTTTTAATATAACCACAACACCATCATCACACCTAAAAATGAATAATTCTTTAATATAATTAAATATACAATTAGTATTCATATTTTTCCCATTGTGTCACAAAGGGTTTTGCTTTTTTGTACAGATGGTTTTGTTTGAGTTGAGATCTAAACAAGGTCCACATATTGCTTTTAATTGATGTATTTCCTAAGTCTCTTTAAATCTGTATTTTTTTTCTTTTTTTCCCTTTGTAATTTATTTGATATAAAGTAGGCTGTTTGTCTTATAGAATTTTTCATATTTTGGAATTTGCTACCTCCTATGTTTCTTGTGAACTGGTAAATAGAGGCTTGATTAGACTTGGGTTCAATTTTTTTGAAAGAGTACTGTATGAATTATTGTACTTTCTTTTGCATTATATTAGAAGGCACATAATGTCTACTTCTCTCTCTTTGTTGTAATAAAACTGTTCACCAGTTAAGTATTATTAGGCTGATTCCTCCATTGTAAAGTTCCCTGTCAACTTTTCACTTACATGATTTTAGTAGCCATTGATGATCACTATTTTTTAGGGGTTACAAAGTAGTGTTATTTTAATATTATCATTCATGCTTCATCTGTTAGTTGGACTTCTATAAACTTTTTTTGAATGAACTTTTTGTTTTCATGCAGTACAGTTTAGATAGCAAAGGTAGAATAAATGCTAGGTTTTTTTTTTTTTTTTTTTTTTTTTACCAGTTTTCAGATTGAATTGGTTCTCAAATATAAAATGACTGAACAGTTGGAAAAATGGCATCAAAAACAGGATGGAGCTTAGTAGGGATAAAAAAAATTGGAAAGGGATGTTTCCTATTTAATCAGTTGATACTGATTCCTTTTTTTACTGTCATCATCAGTTTGAACACTATAATTTAAAAGTGAAACATTATCTGGCAGAAGCAGAAGTCTCAGAGCAAAACCCCCAAGCTTCTTAGATACATATCTTTTATGTTGAGTGGGTAATGGTTTTTCCCTACTCTTACATGATCTTAACATGAATTTAATTAAAAACAGAAATCTATTCTGCCTCAAGTAACTAAGACCACTCTGACTTATTTGGACAATTATTTGTGAAGCTTCCATCACCTGAAATAAATAGAATTTATATTAGAAATGGACATTTTTCACTTTAGAAGTGCAGATTAGGATAAAAACTAACATTCTAAAATGGTGTAAACTTTTTTATAATCTGGCCCCTTTCTTCCTTCATCTGTTTTATACCACTTTCTTTCTTGGTCTCTGCATCTAGCTACATTATCCTTTTTGTTTCTTGAATGTTCTATGCTTGCTTCCACTACTAGGTCATCTTCTGATTTTTTTTCGCCACTATTCTCACCTTAATTTTTCTCAGCTTTCAGTTTTCAGCTTGCATCCCTTCTGTTCTCTTTGAAGTCTTCTCTACACTTACTCTGTAACAGATTCCTTTATTCTGTGCTTTCATAGAGCTGTATTCCTTTCTGTAGAGCATTTATATCATTTTTTTTTAATGTACTCAATCTTTAGATTTTCTGGTTGTGGTCAATTTTCTTATGAAATTGTGATTGCCATGAAAATAGGCATGGTGGTGTTTTAATTCTTTCTTAT